TTCAGGATACATTTCTCACTTATGTCATTTTCTGTCTTGATTGAGTAGAAATTAATGTGGTAAAGTGATTTACCACAATGTCCAAACTTTTAAGGGTGTCACCTCTCTTCCATAGCTGGAAGAATTTTTCCACCTTGCACCCTGGTACCTGGGGGCCTGAGAACTGGAGTCACCAGGCCATCCCAGTAGATCCCACTGTGGGAGGTCAGTTGGACGGATGGTGAGTCTGGAAATAGCTAATTATTCAAATGTACCCACTCTGGAGGTGGCGCAGGGTAGAACCTGGAACTCTCTCCTGCTAGTGGGCGGGCAGGAAAGGACAGTGCTGTTAAGTAGTACAGGGACCCTTTGCTTTGTGATTAAGGGAGAATCTGCCGTGTTGCATGTTTGTAGAAATGCTCTCCCCCTGGAGTTTGTCAGGAAATGAGTCTGAGTGGATGCATGGACAAAGATCCACTTTTGTTTTGTTTTGTTTCGATGCTGAATTCTTTCATTGAAATCAACAAAAGTAATTTAGCCTTTGTGTGTGCTGTTCTGGTTCTGGTGGGTTTTCTCTGAAATGTTTTAGAGGAGTTCTGATATGAAGTGTGGTTGTTTCCCATATGTTTGAAAAATGGCAGCTTAAGCACTCAAGGACTTTAGAATTCTTGCATGTTTGGTCTTAATTTGGAAAATGACATAAGCCTTTAATAAATCTGCAGCAAATCAGAACCCTGCAGCAATTCTGAATCACTGTTTTTCACCAGCTTTGCAGAGATGAAGCAAAACTTATTTAGGGGTTAATATAATACCTCCTCGGCTCCAAACTCTGCTCTGCTTGCAAATTCACTCCAAGTGCCTGTATGAATTTTTCCGCAAATAGAATTCTCATCTTTAGGATGCTGATCAATGTCTTGAATTCCCAAAGATAGATTTATTTTCAGTCTATTTACTAAAGCATGAAGAGGGACTAATACTTTTTGGAAATAATTTTACAGGAACTGAAACAGTAGGTGCCTTGGTGTCAGATGGCTTGAGTTTGAATCCTGGTGTAGCTGCTTGCTAGCTGAGTGACCTTGGGCAAGTCCCTTACTCTGTCTATGCCCTACTCTCCTCATCTGTATATCAGGATATAAGTAAATACTACTGTTAAGTGAACCAATATTTTAAAGTGCTTAAGAGAGGGCCTGGTACTACGTGAGTGGTTTTTACATTAGCTTGGGGGACACCTGAGTGGCTCAGTTGGTTAAGCGTCTGCCTTTGGCTCAGGTCATGATCCTAGGGTCCTGGGATCGAGTCCTGCATTGGGCTCCCTGCTCAGTAGGGAGTCTGCTTCTCCCTCTCCCTTTACTCTTCCCTTTTGCTTATGCTCTCTCTCAATAAATAAATAAAATCTTAAAAAAAAAAAACCCAAAACACAACAAACAAACAAAAAACAAATAAGCTTGGGTGAATGCTCACAGAATTTAATTAACCGGAACATTCCAACTATCAACTCTCCTCATTGTTTAGGACTGGTAACAAATTCTAAATAATGTGTGTATATCTTTTGAATTGAAGGCTGCTAATTAGTTATTTAATGTCTTATTTGACACAATTTCTGACTTCATGAAAAGTTGAAAGAATGGTATGAAGAACTCCCATAAGTCCTTTACCCAGATGCACCAGTTACTCACATTATGCTCATTTGGTTTTTAATTCAGTCATTGACTCTTCCTCCCTTCCTTCCCCTTCCCTCCTGTCTCTCTGTTTTTTTCCCTCAGAATCATTTGAAAATAAGGTGGAAGCCTTTGTTTCTTTATTCTTAAATATTTTAGGGTGTATTTTTTAGTAATAGGGACATTCTCTTTCTTATCTACAGTATGATCAAAGTCAGGAAACTTAATGTTGATACAACACTGTAATTTATTCTGCAGACGATATTTAGAAATTATTAGTTGTCCCAATGATGCCCTTTAGAGCTGTGTGTGTGTATATGTGTATGTGTGTATGTTTGTGCGAATGTATATATGTGTGTATGCAGTTTATTCTGAGGAAAATTGTGTGTGTTGTATTTTTTTCTGGTCCCAAGATCCAGTGTATGATCACAATTGCATTTCGTTGCCATGTGTCTCTCCTTTATTTGAAACCATTCCTTAGAGATTTTTTTTTTTTTGTCTTTCATGACCTTGACACTTTCAAAAGCAATTACGTTTTAGAATGTCCCTCAAATTTGAGTTAGTCTGATTTTTCATCCTGATTAGATCTAGCTTTAAGGTCATTGTGTCTTCTAATTCTAAAAGGAACTGTGATATTTCATCCCTGTAAATTTTTAGACTGAAAAGATGAGGAGGAGCTTGATTCTTTACTGATTGACATGTGTGCAGTGAGGTGGGTGTAGCAAAACCAACAAAGATATTCCGAGGGTGCTTATCTACAACAAGTAAATGACTGTATTCCAAAAGAATAATCCCCTTAGGGAATTCAGCATACTAATGGTGAGGACAAATAGATCAAGAGAAAAGAGAGGTAAAACCTCACTATTTCTTTGATAAAAAAATCAAGTGTAGGCAGAATTCTTTCCTATGTGCAATGGAAATAAATTAAACATCACAAGAATGGTCTCCTCTGGCTGGGAACCTCAAAGTTTCTTGGTACCAGGAAACATAACCAGGCATTCTGCTCTTTTGTTGGAAAAGAGTGACTGTCCCTATACAGTACCAACACATTAGGGGAAAGATGAAAAATGTAGCCTGGCATCTAAATGCTGAGTCTTTGAAGTTCATTCTGAGAATGACTGGATGCGTGAAAACATTTGTATTTTTTTGAGAGAGAGAGCATGAGTGGGGGGGGGTGGTGGGAGGGGCAGAAGGAGAGGGAGAGAGAGAATCTTAAGCAGGCTCCACGCCCAGCTCGATCTCACGACCCCAAGATCAAGATCTGAGCCAAAATGAAGAGTCAGACGCTTAACAGACTGAGCCACCCAGGTGCCCCAGAAAACATTATTTTCTTAAGTCTAAATATGGGTGGTGTCATTCATCATGAAAAACACTGAGACTCTTTAAAAACAAATGAGTATGGAAGCACATGGATAGAAATCACTGTGCTATGGCTGGGAAACAAAAGAGAGAGAAATGAAATGACTGGAAGCAAATGCTTTTGGTGCCATGCACAGAATTACTGATGGTCTTGAATGCACTCAAGTTCAGAAGTGACGAGAAAGAGTTAATCCTTTTAAGCCAGTGCCTAGGGTATGCCCTGGGAAAATCTGACCAAATGAGTTACTGCTCAGCCTAAAATTAAACTCCTGGCTCCTTGTCTGGCATACAAACTATTAGATCACATTTCTTTTCACTGATGGATCCATTTTTTAATGAATTGAAAAAAGAATCCCCAGTGGTTCCTTTTGTGTGAAGAAAACAAGATAAATATTAGCTAGGAAAGGTCATTTTGGTTTCCAATATGTGGGAAGTTCATTATGATGGATTCTGATAAATTATACTGTGTATTTCTTTCCGATAACAGAAGGTCACACTGTGCCCTTGGGTGGACATCAGGACAAACATACTTAATAAAGTTGGAGGAGGTGGGAGATGAACATTTTCCAGTGTTTTATTTTTTCCCCTGAATACGTTATATTTGTACAGTTATTCAAAGCCACTCCTCCTTGAGCGACTCGCTCAAAGCTCACTCTTCTTCCTTTGGCCCCGAAGGAGTGGGTCTGCAAGTCCATCACCTACAGTATTCTCTGGGCAAACTTGGGTAGTTATCTTCAGGGGAAGATATCTAAAGAAGAGCAAAATCTCAGTTGTGCTTTGTGGCAGATTTGTAGTGGGTTCAACAGGATTCTAAAGCAACTAGACTGTGTCACAGGATCATTTTTATCTCATATTTGCAACTTTAATATTTACCGATGCACATCATTATTTTTCCCCGCTCTCCACCACTGGGAGGGATGTTTTTAACTTAACAGTGTTAAAAACGGTGTCGTTTCATGGTCCATTTTTTTTTTTCTCTTGAGATGTCTTTGGTTTGGAAACATCTGAATCCTTCTTGCAAAAATGTTTTTGCTGAGTAGAAAAGTCCTTTTAGGTCTGTGCATTAAAGGAGTGTGTTGAATGTTAATTATGGTATTAACAAGCATTCTTTGTATGTTGATGTGATGTTTTCTATTGGAAAGACTTTTCTCTCTTCCTCCCAAAAACATTTTTCAAAAAAGATCCTCACCGAGTGTTTAGCAACATCTACAGGTTTATTATCTCACAAATCTAGGAATTCAGATCTTCATGCTGGCTTTTCCACTGCTGTGTGAGCTTGGGCAAGTTGCAGAATTCTTGGGAATGGACCATCTCCATTTCCATTTTCATCCCATTGTTAATGACATGGGGAGAATGAAATTTTGCATCATGAAGGTTGGGGATCCTCTGTCAAGTTTGGAATGCCTTTGCTGCTGAGATAACTTCTACTTTAAATTTGTATTCTGCGGGTACCTGGGTGGCTCAGTTGTTGAGCGTCTGCCTTCGGCTCAGGTCATGATCCCGGAGTCCTGGGATCAAGCCCCGCATCAGGCTCCCCGCTCTGCGGGAGGCCTGCTTCTCCCTCTCCCACTCCCCCTGCTTGTGTTCCCTCTCTCACTGTGTCTCTCTCTGTCAAATAAATAAATAAAATCTTTAAAAAATAAAATAAAATTGTATTTTGTTAACTAATCCATGATGAGTTCATGAGTACTGCATTCTGTGTCTCTTCTCCCCCGTATATTAGGACGCCTTACAAATGTGGATGCATCTGGTTGCCTACCATTGTCCTGAAACTGCAGGTTTCATGGTAAAAAAAAACCCCATTATTCTGCTACTGGAAATCTGTTTGATTTCAACATTAACATGCTAATGACTTCCTGTCCTTGTTGTTTCTTAAATAGGTCTTTCCAAGCTAAGATAATTTTTTTGGAACTGCAGAAATTGTTGGCCCTCGCTACAAATGGGAATTTGGAGTTGCTCTGAAATCCGTTCTGAAATAATTGTGCTTGACTGGAACCAAATCTTATGAAGTCACCAAGGTAAAATGATTTTAAGAGACACCTAGAGATGGTTTCTTCATGAAGCATTGAGAATTTAGGAAAATGGAGAATCCTAGAGTTGACAATCCTTTATAAAATGTTTCTTTTTACATTGAATTTTTGAGTATTTTGGGAATCTTAGTTTTTCAAGTTTTAATTCTCATTTTGGAAATCATTTCTGTTTGTAAAGCAGTGTTTTGACTATTTGGTAGGGTGAAAGGTGAGATTTAAAGATAAACCAATTTTGTTTTATGTTTGAGCAAAATGTTCAAGGGGGAAGAAATTGAAGTTGAAGTATTATGGTAGATGTGGTAGGTCAGAAGTCCTTTGACTGGGGGTCTGGATTATTGGCCACAATAAAGAATGATTGCTGAATAGCTATCCAGTTGTCCCCTGGCATTTTCCAGACAGTGACAGCTATTGTAAAATAAATACCTGCCCTAGGCCCTGGAAGCTTCACCCAGGAACCTGGTACATAGAATTGTCTATGTACGAAGACGGATCAGGGATCAGCCCCTCAGGTTGGAAAGGTTGTCCTTGACACTTCGGATTTGGGGTTTGTTGTTGGGATCCAACCAGGAAAACAGACCATTCTGATAATGTGGGACAGAAGGAATTGAATTCACGGAACGGATGTAAAGGGAGAGTCAGAGAAGTCAAGCAGAAGACATGGAGGCTGCCTAGAGATAAGGAACGAGAGGAAGCTACCACCGTCCCCAGGGCTGGTCGGACAAATGAAGGAAGTAGTGTTTGCCAGCACCTAGGGGTAGGGACCCTCAGTGGGAGCTAGAACCAGAGTGGGTCTTCTGGCAGGAACTGGCACCATGCGGGAGAGATGGCCACTCCATAGATCCTGCCCCAGATGGAGAAGGTGGGAAGAAATACCCCTATCCTTTTTCTTCCACCCTCCAGGCTCTAGCTACTGTCTCCTATTGGTTAAATCCAGCTGATTCAGGGGCCTGGAAAATGCAGCCCATGGGAGTGACCTAGGGGAAGGGAAAAGAATGGATCCAAGGGCAAAACAGGCCCGGGAGGGGATGGGCTTCCTATATGAAACCTCTTCCTATGACATTTTAATGGGCATGGCATGGTCTTTTATACCTCAGGATGGGTCTTCTCTTGAGGATGACTCCATGGCCTCAGAAAGTAAATTATGCATATTGCATACACCGTCTTCTATTTGAAGATGGATGGTAGTAGACGCTATGATGCAGAAGGATTTATTCCCTCACTGTCCAGAGCCCCCTTTTGGAATGAGGACACACCCAACTGAAGAAGATGACCTACAACTTCTTTGAATTATTCTCAATTCAAAGAGTCCATTTCCTAAAGTTACCCATCTTTTTAAGGGCAGCTCATATCCAGTGATGGGTTAACAGGGAAATATAGAGCCTTGGCCCCTCCCCCCAGCTTGGGACCACCGAGAAGGAGCATTCCAGCTTTGGGACTCTCCGCTGGGTCATCTGAGGCCTTTTGCTCCTTCTGTGCTGCCTCCTTCCCTCCCTTGCCTTCCCCTTCCATAGGTGATATCCCTGGACTACCCCTTGATTAACCTCCTGCTCACCAATTCCCAACCTTGGGACTCAGATCATCTCAAATATACTCTCCAATTTGTTAAAACCCTTCCAGACAAGTTTAGGTGATATAGGGCCTGATAAACAGATGGAAACTGAATTTCAGTGGTACATTAGGTAGGAGAGATTATAGATCACCCGAAAGACCTAGTCTGAATTTGGAGACTAAATTGGGTGGGACTTTATGGTTAGAGGCAGGGGAGCCAACCCACTAAGCAGAAGAAAAGTATTTAATGATACTCAGTGGAGGGTAAAGAATTAAGAAGCCAATAGGGATCTGGGCATCTGGAAATTGGATTAAGAACAAGAAGGTGGGTTTCAGAACCGGATTGAGTCTGATAGGTTTATTAACAAGGAGAGAGAGCAACGTGTACTCCGAGGTTCTCAGCAACGTTGCTCACATCTCAGAGAACAGATGGTGGATACCTGGACTGGGTAGGGGGATGCTGGTCTGCAGGTCAGTCTGGCAGCACTGGGGAGTGACAGCTGAAGGAAAAGACAGTGAGGGAGAGCACATTACCTTTGGGTAATGTTTTCTTCGTCAGAGTCCATTTTCAGTGATATAAATCTTGAGATTAACTTGTGTGATTAATCACTTAAATCAGTTAGACTGAATACCTAGTTGGACCTTTGTAAACCACATATATGGATAAATTTTTTTTTAAAGATTTTATTTATTTATTTGAGACAGAGAGAATGAGAGAGAGAGAGAGAGAGAGAGCACATGAGAGGGGGGAGGGTCAGAGGGAGAAGCAGACTGACTCCCTGCCAAGCAGGGAGCCCGATGTGGGACTCAATCCAGGGACTCCAGGATCATGACCCGAGCCGAAGGCAGTTGCCCAACCAACTGATTGGATTGTTTGCCCATTTTTGGTAGACAGAGTTCTAAGATGGCTCCTAAGATTTGTGCCCTTCTGTGTGTACGACCTGGGTTATTTCCTTCCCTTGACTGTGGGCAGGTTTGTGAATATGATGGGGTTCACTCCTGTGGTTATGGTTATATGACAAAGATGAAGATGAAGGGATTTTTGTCATTGTAATTAAGGTCTCAAATAAATTGATGTTGAATTAATCAGAAGGGAGATTATCCTGGATAGGACTGACTTGACTTGGTGAGCCGTAGCAAAGGACTACACCTTTCCTGACAGAGGAGATTTGGACTGAAGCAGCCTGAAGAGGGTCCACATATGTGGCCAAGTTCAGGATGCCACATCTCAGAGCTGAGAGCAGGTCCTGGCTGATAGCAAGAACACAGGGACCTCAATTATATGGGCCTATGGAAATGGATTTTGTCAACAGCATGTAGGTGGTTAGAAGCCATTATTTCCCCAGTTGAGCCTCCAGATGAGGACACACCCAGATGACATTTTTATTTCAGTCCTGTGAGTCCCTGAGCAGAGGACCTGGCTAGAATGTGCCAGACTTCTGACTTAAGGTAACTATGAGAAACTATGGAAACCATGTCCATATTTTTTTAACTTCTGAGTTTGGCAGTTTATTTGTTATGTCAAAATAGAAATTAATACCCCATTTATCTGATTCCTTAAAATTCTCCCTTTTGGGGCCACTAATTGCTGCAAACTGGAGCCAAGGTGCCTTATCCAGCCTGCAGATGTGTTTTACTTGGTGTATTTTGTACTCTGTTTTTTTTTTTTAATTTTTTTTTTTAAGATTTTATTTATTTGAGAGAGAGAGACAGAGTAGAGGCAGAGGCAGAGCGAAAGAGAGAAGCAGACTCCCCACTGAGCAGGGAGCCTGATGTGGGGCTCGATCCCAGGACCCTGAGATCATGACCTGAGCCGAAGGCAGACGCTTAACCGACTGAGCCACCCAGGCGCCCCTGCACTCTGTTTTAAAAATAAAACAAACTGAATTAATTGCCAACATATAAATTTGGGTAAGAACCTTTATAACAATGAGATCAATAACTAATATTGGAGTTAACAACTGGAATTTTAAAACATTATGGTGGGACAGAGCACTTCATCCACAAATTTAGTGTATATAGAATTTTGAAACTACATGCTTTCCCTAATTAGTAGTAAATAAATAATCAGTTCCCTGAAATGACAATATAATTAATGGAAGTTGATCCTTGAACAACACAAGGGTTGGGGCACTTGACTCCCCATAAACTTAACCACTCAGAGCCTACTGTTGACTGGAACTCTTACCAATAACATAAACAGTCAGTTAACACATATTTTATATATTATATGTATTACCTACTGTATTCTTACAATAAAGTAAGCTAGAGAAAAGAAAATGCTATTTTAAAAAATCACAAGAGGGATGTCTGGGTGGCGCAGTCGGTTAAGTGTTCAACTCTTGGTTTCAGCTCAGGTCATGATGGCAGGGTTGTGGGATCGAGCCCTGTGTCCAGCTCCCTGCTCAACACAAGGTCTGCTTGGGACTCTCTCCCTCTGCCCCACCCCCTGAAATAAATAAGTCTTTAAAAAAATCATAAGAAAGAAAATACATTTATAATACTGCAATGTATGGTGGAAACTCCATGTCTCAGTGAACTCGCACAGTTCAAACCTGTGTCATTCAAGGGGCAGCTGAACTCATACCAAAGCTCACGTAGACCCATGTATTTTCTTTGCCACTTTTTGAACTGCTCCCAGGGTGTCTATCTCCCATGTGTACAAGATGAAGTGGGGGAGATGGAAGGTGGTGCTTTGAGAAATTAAAGCACATGCAGGGCCTTTAAAGCAGAGAGACCTGATGTTCCATGAGTTTGGAACAACTCATGTACGATGAGTTTGGAATGCTCAGGATTTCCAAGGCCAAGGGCAAAGAGAAGCCAAGACTTTGTGTCTCCTCTAACGTTTAGTTGTTCAAAGATGATCTTAGAACCTTGTCTTGCCCTGGCTGCTTCAACAGCAGACTGAGTCTCACATCAATGAACTGTATGATACCTTTCAACAAGATCTATTTGACTAAATCGTAAGAGGCCAAAAGAGAAGGGTGGGGGTAGAACCTGTTCTCTGGAGTATGATTTGGGTGCTAGGTCCCCAAGGCTGTGCTTTTCCTCAAGCACAGACTCAGGGTTCTGGTTGAGATGCTGCTCGTCTCTGGTTGAGACCCTTCCTTCCAGGACTTCAGGAGATTTGCCTCTAGTGATGCAAACAGGAATCCACATATATATACGAAGGGGGTTCCTTTGACCCAATGTGGTGAATTATATCATAGACACCACGATACATGTGCCAGGCAGAACCTAATATCACTGGAGTTTCAAATGCCAAGCTCTCTGTCCCACTTTGCTTGAAAAAGTTAATTAAAAAAAATAGCAAACAAAAGTTAATCTAGTTCTATCTAATTTCCCTATAATGTCTAAATAGGGGAGATGTCAACTATTCTTCAATTAAAAAAAAATTGAGGGGAGAATGCACTTTTAAAAAAGATTTTATTTATTTATTAGAGAGAGAAAGAGAGGCAGAGGGAGAGAGAGAGACTATCTCAAACAGACTCTTCCCTGAGCATGGAGCCCGACTCAGGGCTCAATCTCATGATCCTGAGTTCATGACCTGAGCTGAAATCAAGAGTTGGATGCTTAACTGACTGAGCCACCCAGGCACCCCGAAAATGCTTTTTTGATATTTTCTTTTTATTTAATTTCTTTCAGGTTTTTTTAAGACTAGTAGACTACACATACACATTTGTGAACTGAATTTTCTTTGAGCAACTGTTTTGATACTGTCCATCTGTATGAAGTTAAGTTTATTTAGCTGTATTGATATATAATTGACACATAACATTGTATATGTTTCAGGTATTCACTGTGCTGATTTGATACATATATAAATTGCAAAATGATGACTACCATAGTATTAGCTACCACCTCCATCCTGTCGCATAATTACCATTTTTTTTTTTTGTGGTGAGAACATTTGAGATCTACTCTTCGCAACATTCAAGTATATGATAAAGTGTTATTAGCTATAATCACCATGCTATACATTAGATTCCCAAACTTGTTAATCTTGTCACTTTTTTAAAAAGATTTTATTTATTTGAGAGAGAGAGAGAGAGATCACAAGCAGGGGGGAGGGGTAGAGGGAGAGGCAGACTCCCTGCTGAGCAGGGAGCCTGATATGGGACTTGATCCCAGGACCCTGGGATCATGACTTGAGCCAAAGGCAGATGCTCAACCAACTGAGCCACACAGATGCCCCAATCTTGTCACTTTTGATCAATATCTCCCCATTTTTCTCACCTCCCAACCTTTGCTAACTACTACTCTATTCTGTTTCTCTGAGTTTGTCTTTTTCAGATTCCACATATAAGTGGGATCAAACAGTATTTGTCTTTCTCCATCTTATTTCCCTTATCATAATGCCCTCAGAGTCCACCTAAATTGTTGCAAATGACAGGATTTCATTTTTTCTCATGGTTGAATAATATTCCATTGTATATACATACCACATCTTCTTTATGTATTCATCTGTCGACATCCATATGAAGTTAAGGTTACTTTACATTCACCTATACTTGCCCATATTCCTACCAAACTTTGAGACTGATAATCATTTATTAATGTACAACCAGAGAAACCAGGAGAAAACTCTCAGGCTGAGTGTGACAATTTCTGTGGTTTCTTTGAGGTGTAGAAACCATGTATATTTTATTTGAGTCCAGCTCTAAGTGTGTAGCTTTCTAATTTCATGATATAAAATAGTATGTTACCCCATGTTCTATGAGGATAAGTCACGTGACACAATGGGGCTTCATAAATAGACTTATCATTGAAGTTTGTCGCTAACTTGGAAAACTCATAATTATAAAAAGTGTTCATTGAAAATTGAGTTAATGCACAGTGGGAATCAGGTTTCATTTGCCTTCAGTGTTCTTGGGGCGAAAGAAGCCCAGCGCTGAGCATCTCTTGCGTGCTGTTTTCTTCTAGTTTTCCCCAGACCATGCTTGAGTGTCTGCCGCAGAACCTCACCTCACTGAGTCCTCACTGACTTGTGTCCTGCTTTCTCTCCAGGATGAGAGTCTATGCTAAATCAGTGTTGCTGTCACACTGGGTCTTTCTGGCCTATGTGTTAATGGTGTGCTGTAAGCTGATGTCCGCCTCGAGCCAGCACCTCCGGGGACACGCAGGTAAGCCCTTTAAGCTCATTATGCACCACGGAGATCAATTAATAAAACCCTTTCAAACGTCAGAGTCCACATTTTAGACACAGGTAATTGACAAGAGTGTTTGATGGTGTGTAAATAATCAGAGGAAGCCTGAGATACATCAGAGCAAAGCCGTTCAATGGTTTGGTGCTAAGAGTGTTTTCTAGACTTTTTTTTTTTAAAGATGTTTTCCAGGGTTTTTTTCTCCTTTTCCTTTCCTGAGTACATTTCCATTCTTAGAGTGATTTTTCTCAAAGAATCCTGGAAAACCAGCAGCCCTTTCTTTGCATATGTATTACTCCTGTAACTTCCTTTGAAGGCAGGACATCTTTATTGGTAAACTTAAACACTTCCAGGGCTAGAGTGAAGCTGTCAGATAATCTAAGACCTTTTTAACACGTGTGGAGAAAAGATGGTGAATGATTTAAAAACATAAAGAAGAAAGAAAAGGAAAAAAGCAGTGGTAGCTGTAACCTGGGACCTAAAATAAAATGTGTCTAAAGGTTTAGAGAATCATTCTCATAATTTCTCATGAGACCCTTGTCTATACTTGGCTTCTTTCTAAAAAAAAAAGATGAAAATAATCACTGAAGTATCTATGTGCAGGTGTGTGTGTATGTGTGTTTCTGCCCACTCCTCCCCCCTTTCCTTGTTACATCTACATTTAAAGTGATGCAGAGTTGGAAACTCCCCAGTGAAATGTGTTTTCCTGATAAATTCATATTTGTTTGTGGACTCATTGCCAAATAATTAATTTACTGTCATTGCTTCAGTAATTTGAAGTGTGGCAATGACAGGCTTGCTTTGACTGCTTGGTGAAAAAGTGAATCTTGAACCGTCAACCAGGTGTATGTCCCAATCATAAATTCTGTCTCCCACAGGTCTAATGTATGGACTTTATCAGATATCCTTACCCTCAGACATATAGCAGGCAGTGCTTTCCACTCAGTTATTCTGATATTTTAAGGTGAAGACATAATATGAGGCTTACAATGACTTTAAAAAATCTCTCACGACTCATTTTTCTCGCCTCAAGTGAGAGTTCAGAGAAGACGAGAAAAATAATTGAAATTTTAATGAATCAGCATAAAATCAATACCATTTGGCTGCTGTGAAGTGCCTACAGCTAGCTGGTCATTGCACTGTGTATCTTTTGATGAGCTTGTTCTCAAGGATAGAGAGTTTGAAGTCGTTAGTCTTATCTGTTTAATTCATATCTCTTTTCTTGGGTGGAGGTTGAGAGTCCGGGTAGCAAGCAGGCAGAGCATTTCAGTAGGGCAGGTTATCAAGAGCAGATTTCCAGACTTCCAGGAACTGGGCTTGAGAGATTGTGTTGAAAAGTGATTAAAAGTAGAAGGAAACAGAGGACATGACTGAACCTTCAATTTTTATCCATGTGGCAATCCTCATTTCTTTGAATTTAGAAAAGGCACCAGCATTGGAATAAATGTAAGTTAAGATTAGAATTATATACACAAGAAATACAGACAATATCTTCTATATAAGCGGACTCAACAGCAATCAGGACAGCGAGAAGTCAGAGCAAAGCCTTGGCAACTCCTGCTCAAGGAATGACATTCTCAGCCCTAGAATTCTAGCTGATTTTATTTGGATTCCCAGCACATGTCCTTTGGCTTTGGGGGGATTCCTTCGGCTTTCATCTTTGGGATTTACATCCTTCTCACCCCTTGTCTGAACAACCCATGAAAGGAGTCGGGACTGGTTCCTCCCTAGAGGGGGCTCTGTTCTCTCATTTTCTTATCATGTGCGTGCACGAGTGCGTGTGTATGATATTTGTGATACAGAAAGAGATTTTTTATGAAGTATTGGCTCACACAGCTATGTAGGCTGAGAAGTCTCATGATCTGCGGTCTGCGAGCTGGAGACCCGGGGAAGTCAGTGGTGTGGTTTAAGGGTTTGGGAACCAGAGAGCCCACGTGTACTCTAGTCCAGGTCTGAAGAGCTGAGCACCAGGAACAGTGAGAGCACGAGAAGATGGATATCCCAGCCCAACGGTCAGGCAAAGAACAAAGTCAGCTTTCTCCCACCTTTTCGTGCCATTCAAATGCTCAGGGGATTGGATGAGGCTCAGCCACATTGGGAGAACCATCTATTCCACTCGTCCACCAATTTAAATGCTAATCATTTCCAGAAACACCTTTATAGACACACTCAGAAATAATGTTTAATCAGATACCTGGGCATCCCATGGCACAGTCAAGCTGACATATAAAATTAATCGTCATAGCTCTCCTTCCAGAAAAAAAGAATGTGTATACCAGTAATGTGTTTATGCACTTACATATCACTATGCCCCCTGTTTTGACTTTTTTCCCATTTAACAATAGTTTATAGATCTTTTCATTTGAGCACTTACAGATCTATCACTCTCTGTAACACTGCATAGTCATCTATGGTATGGAGGTGCCATAAATGATTTGATCACTCCCAAATTTGTGGACATTTGACTTGTTACCATATTTCTACAAATATGTATGTCCTGACTTCAGGTGAATTCCTAGTAGCGAGATCTTGAATTAAAGTGCACACAGGTGTTATCAGTGAGAGTGGCCTAATTGCTGTAACCAATAGACCAAATAGACATTATGGCTCAACAAATGGAGGTCTGTTTCTTTCTTTTCTTTTTTTTTTTTTAAGATTTTATTTATTTGAGAGAGAGAGAGAAAGAGAGAACCTGAGCAGGGTGAGGGGCAGGAGGAGAAGCAGACTCCCCGCTGAGCAGGGAGCCCCACGTGGGGCTCGATCCCAGGACCCTGAGATCATGACCTGAGCCGAAGGCAGATGCTTAACCGACTGAGCCACACAGGCGCCCCGGAGGTCTAGCTTCTTGCTCATGTGTCCTGGAGGTGGGGGGTAAATATATCTGCTGGATGACCTTCCAGTACTCAGTCTTTTTGGAACCCGTGGTGGATGGAAGTGCTATCATTTTCAACCTGTGGCTTCCAAGGCTGTCCTAGAGTGGCCTCCATTCCAGCCAGCTGGAAGGGAAATGAGCGTGGAGGCTTCAGCTGGGAGGTGTTAATAAGCCGGCCGAGGCTCGGGCAGCCTCTCGTGCACTGTCCTGCCATTGGCTAGAGTCTAGCCCATAAGCACGTCTTACTGAGGGGCAACTGGGAAACGCTCTAGTTGTGGGCACAGGGAGACCGGGAGAACCGGAACTTTGGTGAGTATCTTGCAACTTATGATGCAGTGCATTCATGTTTTAATCGTGCCAGAGTGCTCTTCAGAACTCTTGGACTTATTTATACTTCCCCCAACTGTAATAGTGTGATAACACCCATTTCCCTTTATACTTATTAACTCTAGGTGCTTTCAAGTTTTAATTTTTTGCCAATCTAGCAATGAAGATGTGTCATTTGTATGGGCTTGTATCTCTTTCTGACTGACGAGTCTCTTAATGTGCTGGTAGACTATTTTTATTTGAGCTATTGCATTCTTTATCCACTTTTCTGTTGGCTCTATTGTCTGTTTATTTGATGATTGGCAAAGCTTTTTGTAGATTGAAGACACCGGAGCACTTTGACCATCCCTCTCCTCCTTCCCTCCTGCCCTGCGTTCCTCCCATTCTAGTGAGGCTCTGTATTCCATTGGGGGTGTGTGTGTGGTGGTGGGGGTGGGGGTGTGAGATGGGGAGACGGTTGAGGACTGCTATAAATGTTCACTAATGACCTTCAGGGGAAGAAAGTCTATGCTCTTTGCATGGCCATGTGGTTTTCTTCCTAGTATAGAGTTCAGCTGATGGAAAACTCAGGGTCAGAACCAGTGGGGTGTGGGGAAGTCTGTTTATACCTAGATGCTGAGAAACTGGTCAGGTTTTACTCCACTGTGGAGGTACCCAAGGCAGCTCCAGAGCAGGAGCAAGCTGCTGAGGGTTAACTGCAGAAGCCTGTGCATCAGTGTCCAGAAGGGCTCTTGTCACTCTCCCAAGGGCTTTGTGGTTCGTGCTGGCCAATTAACGGAACTGTGGTCCCAGGAAACCCTAGTTAGATGTTTATTGGATGCTTTTAATGGCTTGGATTAGGAGAGTGGCTTGTTGATGGTTGTGGATCAACGAGGAGAGATTTCACAAGGGCTCTCAAAGGGGAGGAAGGTGGGACTCACCCCCAGTTTTGAAAGATGAGGTACTAGGTGTGGCTTGAAGTTTTCCTTTTAGTTCAAGCATTGAAAAACCAAACCTAATAAAACCCCACCTAATTTTCATAGCATAGGTCAGGGGAGTCTTTCTTTAAGGCAAATGGCTTTTGTAAACTTCCACGAGTCCAGAAGTGGCATTTTTAAGGAATTAGGAAACACAAAAGACCACCTGTGTTGTTTTTAAAACTACTTGAGGTAATAAGTGAGTGTGAGACCACGTGGACTTTTGAAGCCTCAAGCTATAGAAAAGGAGAAAGGATCAGTGGATAGGTCAGTTTCTTTTAAAAAGGAAGCCAGAGTAAACTTCTTTTTTTCGAGAGCTAGCGATTTGTTCTTTTATTCTTTTTTGCTGTAAGTAGCACCGTTTCCCCGCAAGAGGGCAGCAAACATAATGCGGTGGAAAGATGCTGGCAGTTTCAGAAACTTGAGAATCCTGTGGAATTAATCCTGTGGGAATCTTTGCAAAAGTTTCATCTGATGTAGACATGATGAGTTTGGGACAGTAAGCACCCCGTGGCCTTGAGATTTAGTCATAGGAATAATTGGACACTCCAAAAAATTAATTTCCCCTTTTAGATAGAACCAGAGCTCCTCTCCGGATGTAACAGAGAGGTAGGAACTTAGGTGCTGCTGGTTTGCAAATTCATTTCAGTGGTTCTATTTCCTCAAGGGAGCTTTAAGTATGACCTGGTTGGGGGTGTGTAAATTGCAGCAAATGCTGTGCTGTTTAGCTACCATTTAATATAATCTGTTTTGGTGTAAAACCTATGTAGTATATACTCTGTCCGGGTGTATGTAGGACCTGAAAAAAATGGAACACACCTGGG